CCATCTTATCAGCGGTTCTTGCCAGAGTTAAACTAATGAAGCAAAATATTGGACGGGGCGAATTTTCTCAGTTCCTCAATTTGTCACAGACAAGCTGCCAGGAAGACGACGTTTCAACTTACGTTAACAAAATGCCCTCTATTCAGATTTTGAATCTAGGTTTGAGGATATTTTGACTATGGTAATACCACCGTGGATAATTAATCCATATGGTGACATAGAAGAAACAAATGTCATAATACAAGAGGAACTGACTGAACTAAGTACAAACGAAGAATTTAAGGTTCAGTTTAAAAACGGATATCAGCAATTCTGGCTGCAAAACAACATACCCGTTACTTATCCCGTATTATGGAATATAGCGAGGAAATTTTTAATTTCCTTTCCATCGTCATACCTAGTGGAAAGGGGGTTCATCGCTGTTACCAATCTCCTAACGCAAAAAAAGAAACAGAATGGACATCATTAGCCGAGGAGATTTAAGATTAACCCTTACAAAATTGACGCCAAATGTTGATAATTTATTATTAAAGCATCAGGTTCATCCTTCTCACTAAAAATATTGACTTATTGCTTATGTTATTTTATTTATAGTTTATTTTATGTTTATTTAATGCTACTTATATTTTACATAACACATACAAAATTTTATTTTGAGTAGTTTTAATTTAAATTCAATTAATAAATGTATAAATTAACATGTGTTTTTACTTTAAGTTTTTAACACTAAACTTCACTACACTTAGAAATTTACAGAAAATCAATATCAGTTAAGTAGGGGGTCTATCCAACACGGAAAAACATGGCAAGGGGTCTACGACACAAAAAAGTTTGGGGAACTCTGTCCAGATGGACGATAAAAGTAAAACAGATACGAGCAAGTGACAAATGATTACACAGTCCACCTGATGGAAAGTGGATGTTATGGCCTACAGATAAATGCCTCCCTTTATCCATCATTAGGAATTTTTAAGATTTTATTTTTAAAAGCATCAACCTCAGACGTCCACACCTTTCTTCCGTATCGCGGCGGATTTTTGTTTACATAAATTGCATATTATGCACAAACATTCACCCGGAACAATTATTAGTAGGGCATACAAACATTTCCTATGGATTCAAAGCACCACGCAAAATCTCGTAGGGATTCGAAGTCGCGATTTCTTGGCGCCCCAGGCAAAAAGGCCAATGCGCTACTGATTTGCCATCAAAATGTATGTGGTAGAGCCCCGCTGTAGCTATATTATGGTTGTAGCACGAATGGGTCGGCTCGACCGGAAAACAGCAGCTTAACACTGCTGTGTCTGGTATGGTGAATGTAGAAAACCGGAGACCATTTTTACTGGAGACAAGGCATTGTCCATGTCAGTCCTCAGGGGTGACAACGCATCTGCATTTCATTCCGAATTAATGATAAATATAGACGTCTATGGGCCACTGCATCCACTTACATTCAGGTGGACTGTGTGCTCGTTTGTCACCCTTATTCTATAAAAAAGTATGTGAATTGTCATCTATGAGGACTAAGATGTACTGCCTCGTTACCAGCAGCAGGATCTATAGTTCTCTATACTGCTATGTTACTCACTATCTTACTAAACCACGACTACTACTACCCACGGCAATTTTGTGCTGCTTTTCTACGCTAGTACTCCGAGTTGGCGAACCCAGTCGTGCTGCAGCCACATTTCACAGCTGAACTGCCGTCATATTTCACAATGCAGCCAGTGGAACTGCGAAATATTAAATGTGAAAACAAGACTTTTTTTATTGTGACTATGTTAGCATTATAGAGTTTAATAAGGAACGTTTTCCCTTAAAGGGAAGAAAATGATATCTTTCATGTCGTGCCTAGGCTTGACCATAATGAGATAACACTTACTGTATCTATCCATATATTACCCATACATTCAAATAAATGCTTGCGTTCGTCTAGGTAGCACCATCGTGGGCGCTTCTCCCTCCTCGGGAGGCGGGGCGGTGAAGCGACGGCGCTCGCGTTCTCAGTACCTCTCACTAGTCGTCAAGAGCTTATCCTGGTCAAGCCTAGGCAAGACATTTCATATATATCGTTTTCTTCCCTTTTGGTCCAAACGTTCCTTATTTCATGGTCTGTGCCGTCGGCTTGACCATAATGAGAGGTTTTTAGTTTCTGACGACGCAGTATTAGCGTACTGTGAATAATATATAGATAGTTTTAAAATAAAATAAACGTGTGTGTAAATCAACTGTTTTTTAATAAAAAAAGTATAAGTAAAAAAAAAGTAAAGTTACAGCCTATATACGTCCCACTGCTGGGCACAGGCCTCCTCTCGTTTCTGAGAGGGTTTTAGGGCAAGGAAATGTCCCCGCGCTGCCCCAGTGCATGTTGGCGAACTTCACATGTCTTCGAAATATTTTTTTTCTTATTTCTCAGACATGCAGGTTTCCTCACGATGTTTTCCTTCACCGGCAAGCACGTGGTAAATCAGTACTTAAAATTGCAATTAACAATTTCATTGGTGCCGGCGGGGATCGAACCCGGTTTGCTCGCGTATTGTGAAATTTACAGCGAGCGCTAACCATCTGAGCTACCACGGCTCGGCACGGCTAAAAAAAAAAAGTAAACATTAAAACAATCTAGATAGCTTTAAAATTAGAACAAACTAAGTCATTAACTGGATGAGCACCAAATGACTTTTTAATTATCTCTTTAAAGTAGAACTTAAAGACATTTTTATCAGATTTCCAATTTCCATTTTTAATGATTATATCTAAAGGAACATTGTTCTCCTGCCTTGAGGAGGCTACGGCAGATCTTATACTTCCAGGCGAAAAATCAATACCAAGATGCTTAAAAGCAGATTTTACCCATCCTGCAATTTTGGCTCTAGTTGCAGACTTTAGAATTCCGCGTGTAAATACAAACAAAGATGTCAAATTGTTTCTTGCTTTTCTTCTAGAGGCTGACAAATCAATCAGTATTTTCGTCCAATATATGGGATCTAGAGACTTAATCGAACCTTTAGACAAATGCCAACCTGATTGTTGATGATTAATCTTATCTGTTTTTGAACCATATACAGGCCAAAAGGTAACGGAATCCTGACTCAGCTTTAGATGATCATCATCAATCCTTAGAAGAGTAAGATCGTGTATTCTTCTACCCAACGCCAGCAAAATAATCAGTGCCACATGGCGGGATACTTCAAATAGACTATCTTCATTAATAACTGAGGTTTTCATCCAAGCAATCAGCTGTTCGACATCACAGATATATTTCTTCGACGATGAAAGATGAGAATTCTCTATTGCTCGAATAATATGTTTCACCAAAGGGTGACTTGAAATTTCTTCCCTTCTTAAGGGATCAGCCTTAGTGGCTATAACAGATTTGTGTAATTTTATTGTTCCAGGTGCGAAGTGTTTTACCCTATGTAAAAAACTAAGATATTGGGCTACATCAGCTGGATCAGGTTTCTTCGGATCCAGGTTCATTTTATTACATCTCGTTATCCAAGCTTTCCATGATGCGGCATATGTTTTTAAAGAAGACTTTCTCCAAGATCCTTTGAGTAATTCAAAGTCTTCTTGGGCCCATGAAGATGTGATTTCTGACCACCCCGTATCAACCAGGCCTCCAAGCGTAGATTTCGCACGTCCGGGAGAGGAATGTTCTGTGTCGCGTCCGATAGATGATGCTGTAAGTTTCGAATGCAAATCGGACGATCCAATGCCCTTCGTCTCAGATCCGCCCTCCAAAGAACACGTTCCCATCATGGCGCAATTGTTCAAGTGTGCCAGCACACGAGGCGTCAGTCCTGGCGGTGGGAAAATCCAAGCTAGATCGAAGTCCCAGATTCAGCTGAAAGCATCTATAAAAAGAGCACCTGTGTCTGTTGTGTCTCGAGACCCATAAATCGGTACAACTTTCGAGAAGGCAGTGGCAAAGAGGTTGACCTGAGGAGTTCCCCATTTCTTGAATAGTAGGTCCGTCACTTTGTTCGAGAGATGCCAATCCGCCAGGTGCTTCTGACGAGAAAGGCTGTCTGCCATCTCGTTGAAGACTCCCGGTATGTAGTAGGCAAAAATTTCGATTTCGTTCTCGTAGGCGAGTTCCAGAATCTTTGACACTAGTTCTGTCAATAGAACGGATTTGGTTCCACCTTGATTCCGTATGTAGGAAACCGCTGTTTTGTTGTACTATTGAATTACTACGCGTTTCCCCCTCAGTTGAGCTAGCGTCAAAAGTACTGCTTGATAAATTGCGTATAGCTCCTTGCGATTTATATGCCACAGAGTTTGATTGGTCTTCCAAAGTCCGCTGAGGAGTCTTTGTTGACCTGGGCACCCCAACCCGTGTCCGAAGCATCTGTTGTCACAAATATCGTTTCGAGGCTGAAGAAGATTGGTCGATATTTCTGAAGGTTTTCCAACCACCAAAAGCATTCCTGGAGTGCTTTCGTCGGGATAAGATATTTGTGGTTCTTTTGATCTTGGGGTAAATTTCTTGCTGCACGTTGCAGATGTCTCGAATGTAGTCTTCCTTTAGGAAGACTACATTCGAGACACTGTGACACTGTGAAAGATGCAAAAGCTAACTTTCCGACAAATCTTTTCCCGCTGACCCAACTCCGGGAACCTGGAGTTCTTGGAGACCTTGTTTGCTCTAGATCCTTCTTTAAAAACACGATCTTTCTGTCGGGCAAAAATGTTTTGTTGTTCTGAGTATCCTACATTAATCCCATGTATTTAGGAAACGGGTTGGTGGATTCAGAGATTTTTTCATATTTAATATCCATCCGAGATCCTGCAAAAACCTGACTGTGAACTGGATGTCTTTCTCTAATTCGTTCGGGTGTTGATTAGCCAAGAGAAAGTCGTCGAGGTAAACTATTAGTCTTATTCCTCTCTCTCTCTCTCTCTGAGCTGACCTGCCAGCCAGTTTGACACTCTTGCAAATGTAATGGGAGCTGTCGCTGGCCGAAAGGTAGGCAAGTGAACTGTAATATCCTGTGACGATGAAATATTGCCAAGAACTTTCTGTGTTGCAGTTTTATTGGTAAGTGAAAATACGCCTGGGAAATATCTATTTTCGAGAGGTAGTCCCTTCTTGGAGAAATTCTGGCACTCGAAAATGATATGACAGAATTTCTTTGGCCGTAGAAACCTGTTTAATCCTCGAAGGTTTATAATAGGGCGAAAACTGCCGTCTGGTTTTAAAACTGGAAACAGCTTGGAAAGGTACCCTAGGGGTAAACGACAGGGTTCCAAAATGTTTTGAAAAATCATGACCTCTATCTCTGCGTCCCGTCCCTTGAAATCAAACTGCTCTAGGCAAACTCCTGTCAGAGGGGTAAAAGGAGGTTTTATCACGAAGGGGATAGAATATCCCTCTAATATTTTCAGAATCCCTGGAGGTGCCCCCATTTTTTGCCAGACGCTCACGAATTTGCCCTTTAAAATCCTGCAAGTCAGGATTATCTTGGTTTTTTAGAACTTGACTCGTTGTAGAATGAGGGTTTATCCTTGGGGCAAGCATTAAAACTTCGCTTTGGGGCTCTCTTAGAATTAGTCTTCCAGGATTCCATGTTAGAACTACTGTGAGCTCCTTTAAACTACTGTAAGCGGGGTTTGAATGTCGTCCTGGACGATTTATGGGCTTTCTTACGTTGTTCAAAACTTGAAGTTTCTTTTGGTTGAAATTTAACGAGCTTAAACGAGGAATATGATGTGGTGGAACCCCGGAAAAAATCCTTGAAACGAGGGTTGTTTTAAGAGCTCTGAAAATTAATTCTCATCGAAAAGGCGTGTTGAAGATGGCGGAATATTATTCAATAAAGTTGAAAGATAGACATCTTGCGGTAGAAAGGCATTTCTTCTTTGCTCTATTGCCTCGACTTTGCGACCACAAACATACTGCAGTACATCATCGGAAACACATTTTAAAAGCTGAATTCGTGCCGTAAAGTGACTCTTTGAGGTCCTGCTTCAGGGAAGGATATTTATTTGAAAGGTATTTTACAACACTGGTGAGTGCCTCTCTCTGTAATAGTAAGCCATGCAGTATCGTACCAAAGGAAGCTTCCTGTTTTGTTAGAGAGTCCAGAGAAGCGCTGGAATTATTAATCTTCATTAGGGCAGGATTCAGCTTTAAAGCATGGAACACTGGAAATGCTTGCAATTTCTTTTGCACTTCAGCGTACCGGATCTGGTTATAGGATAATTCTCCTAATCTTAGGCACTGAATACCTCGTGACTCAATATGAGGTTTTGGCGTAGGCATTGTTGGTTCTTGTTACTTAATTTGCGGAATAAAGTCAGGATCGTCATCTTCTTCCTCTTCTAACGGTAGATCTGGCGCCTTCCATTTAACAGTCTCCGACTTATGCAAAGACTGACTGTTTTAAAGTTCATCTTCAGAAGAAGCGTAGGATTCTTCTGGCTCAGACTCATTGTCGGAGATGGGTTCAAATCTTTTCATAAAGTTGGAAAACATGTCCTTCATATCACCAAACTATTGAAAAAAATATCATCAAACTTACCGATGGACGGTGGACCAATAATAAGCTCCACACAAAAAGGCCATTCAAGCATTTTAATTTTGATGTCTTTATATACTTTTTCCGGAAGTGAGGTACAATCTGGACAAAAAGCTCTAGCAAGCTCCACCGTAGGCAGACTGAATCTAATTTTGTTTAAGATCTGGGAATCAAAAACTTCACCCAATAGCTCCGCTCTAGAATGAGTAACGACTTTCCACTGGCGCCATCCATCAGGTAAATACAATTCTGCCAACCTTTTCGCTCTCTCTAAAATCTCTTCGTCTTCCGAACTATCAGGTTCCCATTCCAAGAGAAACTCTAATGTCACTGACTCTTTTGCGACTGCCATCTGCGACAAAAAAATAATAAATAAAAGAAGTTATATAATTGTCTGCTCGAAACAAGCCACATATGTGCTTAAAATGAGCCGTCTGGCTGCTTAAATCGAGCCGTAAGGCCACTTAAATCGAGCCGTAAGGCCGCTAAAATCGGACCGTTGGGCCGCTCAAATCGAGACGTGAGCCGGCTAAAATCGGCCGACGGGCCGCTCAAATTCAGCCGTGAGTCCCCTCGAAAGGAGCCGTTAGGCTTCTCAAATCGGGCCGTACGGCTCTTGCCTTGAGCCGTAAAACTGGTTTGAAGGAGACCGAGTTTTAACATTGTTACCCAGTATAAGGCAGAAAACATAAGTCATACCTCTCGTAACATTAAATTATGTAAGTAGGTACCCAAATACAGGTGTAACAATCCCACAGACGTGATTGTCGTATGGATAGATTTCTGAAATAATTACGTAGATACTCTTAAATCTACTACTTACAAAGTTACGAGAGGAGAACACTAGAAACACATAGTATTTATTATAAATATGGAAGCAAACTTACCATTATGGTAGAATTTTTATTACACACACAATATTCACACAGCAACAACAACAATTCGACTAAATATTATACTTTAACAAATAGTCTCGAACGACACGCGTCGTTAATATTTTTATTTATTAAAATGACGTACCTACGTGTATTCACATGGATAGAAAAAGCGTACTGAGAACTGAGAACGCGAGCGCGGTCGCTTCACCGCCCCGCCTCCCGCGGAGGGAGAAGCGCCTACGATGGCGCTACCTAGACGAACCTAAGCATTTATTTGAATATATGAGTAATATATGGATAGATACAGTAAGTGTTATCTCATTATGGTCAAGCCGACGGCACAGACCATGAAATACACAATATATCCGTTCGCGGCGGACGGTTTGATACTCCGAAAAATTTCTCGAAGTAAGGGGAGCCTGCATTCTGCAATAAGACATGAGTTGGCTGTTACGTTATTAATAAATAAAAAGTATTTTATTCATTAATATAGCGATGCTGGCGAAGCAGAATATGAAAACAATGATGAACTTTCAGCTGAAGAGTATCAACAAGACGAGCAAGAGGCGCGAATGAACACTCAAGTAAACGTTTAATTTCTTCTCTAACATGGTTTTAAAAAATAAGTACTACATTATAAGCAGATTACTCTGGATATAAATCTCTTACACGAGAAGAAATAATTTGTCCTGAGTCTGATCTGGCATGCTTCTAAGAGTAATTTCGCTATTACATTTAGTTACATTTTAACTTTTTCTCCTATTGTTTACTTTACCTGTACGCGGAGTATTCTGCTGATTAATGGACGAAGCTCCGATAACCAATGATTGGCGAAATTTTCAAACAAATACATCGAACATAATCGTATCCTACCGACTGTGGATGAGGAGCAGTATTACCGGGACAAGAGTTGCGGTGCTCTCCAATCTACCTAACTAGTGTACGGTCGTACTCTCATGTACGGATAGTACAGCAAATCACATAAGCCTCGGGGCTTATGTGATTAAATTAAAAGTTGATTCTAATGCAATGTCAAAAAACACGAGAACGACTATGTACATAATGGTTTTGTGGTACAAAGTTGGTTCCAACTTAGTTCTTGCTATTATCCATTGAGTAAGAGTAGGTACTTACATAGATAAACATGATCTATATTTTATACTTAAAAGGCACAGAGTAGGCAGTAGCTAAGATACAAGAAAATAAGTTTACATATCGTGGCATTCACGTATTCATGTTTACCTATTAACCTCCTCTCTTTTTTCAAATAGGTAGAAACAAAGAATAATGGTCGGTTGCAAGCTTCACAAGGAAGTTCTCATTTTGCAGATTTAACTTATAATCCATACAAACAACGTAACCCTTCAGCTCCACTGCCTAACTTTGAAAATGTAAGTAATTTTTTTAGAGTATTCGATTCATACAGAATATTTTTGTATTAACTATTTAACAAAAGTTTCCAGAATTATCCGGAACTAACAGAGATATTCGTAATGAAAAGACTACAAATGCGAACCTTGATTCTGAGCTTAAACCTCTTTCGAATTATCGGCAAGCTAATGCATATATTGAGAACAATGAACAAGGGGCAACACGAAACTTAAACGATAATAACTTAAAATTGAGTCGGACACAAAATCATATCCAATATGACATCGGCATCAATAAAAGAGCTATGCTACCATTAAATACCAATGAAGAAGGTGATTTATTGTTTGAACATAACGGAGATCAAGTATCAATAAATAAACTTGATAAAAGCGAGTATACAAGAGAAAGTGCTGACAGAAACGAACAATCTCAATGCTCTAAACAGTTATATAATAATATACCTAAGTTTAGGGATTTCTCAGATTACATTAAGTTTGACAAATTACATTTAAATGTAAATCGTGATAGGCGTCAAATACAAGAAAACGATGATAAAGAAACAAATGAGTCAACTCTTTCTCCTGAAGAAAACAAAGAGTCAGATACTGCGAATGAAGACGAGGAGTCTGCTATAAAAAGACATGTCAAAAAATTAACAGCACAAGAACTTGAAGAACTGTTTAATACACTCTCTGAAGATAAAAGAGCTTTACTCAAGAAAATTATAGAAACTGATTACGAGAAAGATAACGAGGGAATTAATAAACGTGAAATAACCAAAAAAGCGGGTACTGTTGAAGAGAATAATTACATTGAAAACGGACAAATAGATTCTAGTAAAATTCAAGGAGGGTGTTCTAATATAGACGTCAATACCGAACCATCGATATCACATGAAACTACCGATAACAATAAAAGAAATATGAATCTTACAGAAACAGGAGAAGTTCTATCTAATAAGAACAATGATGGTTCAGATAAACCTGAAAGTACGGGTGAATTAGGAAATAAGAATGAAAACATAAAAGAAACAAAATCAGGAAGTAATTTAGATTCAGATAAATTGGATAACGAAGCTAACGTAGAGCCGGATACGCAAGTAATGTCTAAAACTGAAAATAAACGTGAAACTAACATAAACGAGAATATAAAGATGGAAAAGTCATCTGATTCATTAATTACGGATCGAGATAATAATAAAAATAATCAAGAACGCTTTTCACCCGCTGATGAATCAGAATTAATAAATGAAGAAACTGAGTTGGACAACCTCTACAAAAAGAACATTAAAAGAGAAACTTCTTTAGATGATCTATCTGATAGATCTGCCTTTATAAAGTCACTAGAAGAATCATTTCCTAACTCTAATTCCTACGACGAAACAAATGTTTTTTCTGGTTCTAACATGGCACCTATGATAAGAGTTAAAAGAAAAAATGCTGAATCTGCAATGACAAAAAGATCAGCGAATGCTATTGCGGACTCCAATGTTCCATATTTCCCCAATAAAGGTGAAAATGATGATGAAGACAATGACGAAGGAAGTGAATTTGATGAAGATGGCTTTTATGATAGGACCTCTAATTATGCAAGAAATAGCGAAAACAATATACCCTTTGATATACAACCTCATTTTTCAGGAAATGATGAAAGAGTTTTAAATCATAGAAGTAGCCGGAATTATGGTCATGAAAACGGTAATCTAGAACGTGACACAATGAGCCTTGGATCAGACACTGACAATGCTATGACTGGAGTAGAAGGTGTTAATGATAACTTGATGTATAATAGTGGATCAAGAAGCAAACGTGATTCGCAAGAAAATGTTGACAATAAAAAATCGTCGGAAGCAAAAACAAACAATGTAATTCGGAATTCTGAATCGAAAACAGATACTGACAACTATGTTAGTGCTCCAAGTTACCAAGAAACTGACGCATTTGGACCTTTACCTCGCAATTACGATGGAGATCTAGGTCGATACAAAAGAATTAGACGTGTGAAACAATTGCCAGTTTTTAAAAGTAATAATTCCGATGATGAATGAAATTTTAATTGCTAAGAATTTAGAAAATTTCTTTGATAAATGGAAGAAAAATAGCCTTAGTTTAGAGTAGCGTTTACATTGTTTCATATGTTTATAAGTTTGAAGTTTTTATTTGTCTCAAGTATATTTTCGTTAAATAAAAGTCTTACATCTATACAATCGGAAGGTTTTAATAATTATTTTATAAGTAAATAGCCAGTTTCGCACGATTAATTTCTGGACTTCGACAAAATATCACCTACGGGTCCAATTGCGAATCTAAACCTTTCTCTAACTTATAGTCAACCAAATCTAAGAAATACATTTTGACAGCTGTCAGACTTATTGTACCAAGCATGCCAATCAAAAAATGGGAACGTACAGTATGCGATTCTTAAAAAAATCGATATCGATTATTTAGAGTTGGTGATCATTTACAGTTTGGTTTGAATAATACCAGAATAACTTTAAAACGGACAGTTTAAAACACAAGATTTATCAGTTTGTACATATTTGTTGTTACTGCTTATTTCTAGGGGCACAGTTATAAAAAATTAAGAATAAAACTAGAATAAAAATAAAGTTATTCAATCACTATCAGTACAACTAGTTGAGTTGTCGTTGTTTACATTCATTATTATTTGTTTTTCAATAATGCAGTCAAAACTAATGTCTCTTTCAAAAACTTTAATTTTAAAAACCTATAAAGTCGTAGCAATATCAGTGCAATGCGGAGTCCTTCAAGCAGTATTTATAGTAAAACCAAGTGCTTTTGATAGTGTTTCATTTTACGTTCCTACATCATTGATATTTTATAATTGGCAGTTTGAATCGTATAATAATTTTTATTAAATTTGGTGATATGTAATTTTTTTGCGTGATATTAAAGGCTTCAGTTGCATCGTCGTTGTTCTAGAGACCACGATACGGGAAAAAAACATCGCCAACTTTCTGATCTCTGTCTCTGGGCTGCTACTAAGAATTTCTTCACTCATAAAGTCAAGAACTATTTTTTCCCCCAATTTTTATCTTCCGTCCCAGGATTTGAAACCATGATCAGCAATCACGCTTACGATCGCTAGAGCAACGAGGCAGTCAAAATGTTGGGGAAAAAATAATGGTAGTTCGTGAGCACTCGTAAAATAAGACGTTCGTCACTGGACACTGCAACAACGAAGCTAATTCTTAACGCTCCCGTTACTCTCTCAAATATGAGATATCTTGACTATGCTCCACAATGGGATGTTTATCAGCTTTCGTTTTTCTTTTTACTTTTTAATTTTAAGTTTCTACTCAAACGGCTACCAACATACAAACATAAACTCTCACGCCTGTCACCCTGAGGGGTTAGCAGATACATACATACTTTCATTTGGCAGGATTCTAGAGCTCTCGCTTTTTTCACAAGCATATATCTACGTATATACATGCTTTTCAGTTAAGGGTAGGATGGAATGGAAAAATGGAGGAAGGATAGGGCAGGATTAAAGTGCCCAAGTGTATGCGCAAGCATAGGTGCACTCTATTCTCTCACTCTCGTAATCCGATGCGACGGTAAACCGACACGAGCGGGAGAGAGATCAGGCGCAGGACCAACGGCTTTACATGCTTTCCGAGGCACGGGAGTGAGACACCGCCAACTTCCTGACTCCGGGCAGTTACTGAGAATTTCTTGACAGAAAAACTCAATAATTAATTTTTTGGCTCGACCCGGGAATCGAACCCAGGACCTCAAGATCAGCAGTCGCACTACTACAACCACAAGACCAACGAGTCAGTCAATATGTATATATTAATAGTTTGCGTTAGTTTGCCCTATATATGGGTACTATTAAAAGTGCCCAGAAATCGCCCCGTGGGTGTCGTAAGAAGCGAAAGAAGCGAAAGAAGTAAACAAATCAGGAGATAGGCAGCCGCGTTGTCTTAATAATTACATGAAAAAACTCCAGGTGCCAACCTGCCCAGTCAAGCGTGCACAAGCTGCCATGGCATAGTGTATTATATCATAATCTATTAATTTATGGTGCAATCTATAGAGAGGCCTATATTTAGCAGTGGAATTTGGTAGGTAGTAAAGGAATAAATAAAAAATACAAAATTCAATTTCTATTGTTTCAATCGAGAAAGCCCACTAGATCTAAGAATCATTATTCTCAGGAAAAGGTGATTAAATGTGAGCAGTGAGCATGTTCAGAATTAAAACAGGTATCAATGAATATTTTTAAATTAAAATATATGTTATTTCTTTGCATTTTGGCTTTGCGTTTTTGAGGAAAATAATAAACATTAAATTGTTTATATAATTTTTATTACATGGCAAAGTTGATAAATAAATAAACATAAATAAAATATAATAGCAATTTTAACATAAAATGCGTTCTAAACTAATTTCATCGAAGTCACGTTAAGACGGGGTACATAGCGAGCTGGAACTAACAGTAGTGTATACTGTATAAACATGTGAGACCTTATGTTGTAATGTTGTTAGTTTGAAGCAGCATGATCACGTACATTTACGTACATTTTATTAGATGTTTTGCTCAAAAATATCGATCAAGGCGTTGATTGAGTCATCGAATACATTGGATATGGTGATTTATTTCTTATTTAAAAATAAACTAAAATAAAGTAGTAAGTTAAACACAACATGATCATTACCTGAAGGCATTTATTTTCAGTCTCTTCAGTGCTCGCATTCTCGCTCGGATAGTAAGAGCACAAAGTAATATGTTATGTTATACTAGACTGTGATAAAAGTGTTATTAAATTTTTCTCGACTCATATGAAAAAAAAAACAATTTTAAATAGAACACCCGCGCAGGTGGCTCTGAGTGTGCTCCAAATTGCACTCTCGACGTCCACTGCAAACGCTAAATGATCATTCGTCAGCTCGCTGTAAAGGTCGAACCTAGAACGATTCGCTTGTGGCAGACACCGATTTTTGGTCACAGTTCCGTGCACTGATTACCGTTCCAGTTCGCTACCGAGTATTAAAAAAGGGTAGGTACAACATATCTCCCGACTTAAATATTATATTAACTAGAAATGTTAGATTACGTTAGATAAATTAAAAAAATAACTTTAACCTATTTCAAAAATACAGTTTAAATGGGAAATCCTGGTCATATAAACAAGGAATGCAAAAGTAAGGTTATTATTCAATATATAGGTATAGTAAAGTTAATGAGTTACTTTAGACGAATAAAATTTATGCTCGCGGGAGTCACGAGTGTGTTTAAATTGCGTACTTGGACTTTGAAGTGTTGTAGCCGGACAAGTACCATGCACGTGAGTGGTAAACTCACGTTTGTAGCTAGTGTTGCCGGCGTCACCTAATATAAACTGCGACGTATTTCCGTGTCTTGTTACCCTTTGGACACGTTCTACGTGCTCTGTTCTTTCAGCTTTCTGGGATTGTTCAGAACGAGAAAAACTTCCATATGAGCGTGCTTCTGATTGTCCGAAAAATTCCCCACCAACTCGAAGATTATCCCTAACGTTTACGCGTGGTTCCCGCTCCACTACCATTGTCGACTGGCCATCTCGCCTTTGTGTACGTCGGAAGTCTGCATTGTCAGTATTGTCGCGAGCAGAACGATGCATTGAACTGATGCTCTTTCTATCAGTGCTGTGTGTCGAATTACTTATGTATTCACCACGGTCGTTAAGGTTTCCAATACTTTTACGTTGTGAAGCTGCAGTCGAACTAATAGAGTGGTGCGCTTCATTAGTTGACGTAACACCTTTACGATGAAGAACAGCGTTGGCAGACTGTGAATCAGACGTTAAGTCGGATGTACGCTTATGGTAACCACTTCGTGCTACATTGTCTGTTGTAGATGTAATGACGTCACTGCCACCGTGCATTGCTTGTTGAAATTCTCTGCTTGTTTTTGTAACACTGTCACTTAGCTGATTCCTACTTAATTTACTGGAGTCATAAGTTGAATTTGTATGACCTGTTCCGTCCATATTAATTCCGGTTATTATATTTGAATAAGATCCAGAACCTTTTTGTGTATTATCAGAAATAATACGCTGTTGCGAATTCGAATGATGTTGATTTGTAGAAAACTGTGATGTCAACGACTGATCGGATGACAAAGTTTTCTGAAAATGTTCCCCTTCAGTATGCTTGTAAACTTTGCTGCTTGTAGACAAATGCTGGTTGGACCGCGATAAATTTTGATTCATTGTGCTACCATGTATTATATGTTTTGCATGAATATTTTCTTGATTGCGATTGTCAGATGAAGCAAGCTTTTGATAGGATTCGTGCTCCGATGATATAAGTTTTTGGACGCTATCGCCTCTTTGCTGACGCACTATGTGGCTATCAGAAGATGAATGTCCAGTAGTATGTTTAATAAGTTGCTCTTCCTGATTTGCCTTCGTCATATGTGTCTTGTTGGAAATCAGATGTAGACTTTGATCATCTTCTTTATTATAATTCGAACGCTGGTGAGAATTTAATACATTACTAGACGTATCTGAAGCGATCCCTCTCTGACGTGTTTCACTTGTCACTGATTTAATTTGAGACGCAATAAGGTCATCAGTGTTTCTTCGGACATTATTGTTTTCAGTGTCAGCTCCTATTGGGGTGTTTGTTTCCACGTTTCTTGTAACCATCACCCATTTACCTGCTATTAATTTTTTTTCCTTTACTTGTTTTATTGTCTTAGTTAAAGAAGTCGTCACATTTTTTATATGCTTTGAATTAGTTTTATTCACTTCGCTCTTTTCAACACTATTTCTTGATACTTGTGTAGTTGTACGATCTAAATTATTTTGAGACTCTGCACGATCGATGATATCTTGTGTTGTGAATGTTTTGTGAGCTGTTTGATTGTCTTTAGAAGTGGAAAACTCAGTATGAGAAGTGGATTGAACATTAGTACGAGATTGTTTTGTTTCCTTTCCAATCTGAGTCTTTTGTATATTTTCTTTATGTGTTTCACTACCACTTCTAGTAACAGATGTTAATTCTTTACTTTGCCTTGACTGGTTTCTAATATCATTATGTGTTATGTCTTTTTCAGAATGTGTTGGATGACGTGTTTCAGGATGCAATTCATCCCTAGGTCGATAAATAGTACGATCGCTTGATATTGTAGAAGATGAATCGCTATCTGTTCTGATATTCAAATTGTCTTTTGGCCTCATGGGAGTGGAACGATCAGTTGTTTCCCATTTTGGTCTAGATGGGCGATCAAAATCACCTTCTGGTTTTAAATTATCCTTAGGACGTACTTGTGCTGGAATTTCTCCAGGCTGCCATTGAGTTTTTGGTCGATCTTGAAATTTACCTTCTGGATAAAGGTTGTCTTTAGGTCGAATTTGTTCAGAAATTTCACCAGGTTGCCATTGAGTTTTGGGTCTATCTTCAAATTGATCATCTTTATTATTATAATGTGAACGTTGGTCAGAATGTAATACATTACCATACGTGTCTGAAGCGATCCCTGTCTGACTTGTTTCACTTGTCACATATTTAATTTGTGACGCAGTACGATCATCAGCGTTTCTTTTAACATTATTGTTTTCAGTGTCAGCTCCTGTTGTGACGTTTGTTTCCACGTTTCGTGTAACAACCACCCATTTACCTGCTATTAATTTTTTTTCCTTTACTTGTTTTATCGTCTTAGTTGAAGAAGTGGTTACATTTTTTATATGTTTCGAATTAGTTTTATTCAGTTCGCTCTTTTCAACACTACTTCTTGAAACTTGTGTAGATGTACGATCTAAATTATTTTGAGATTCTGCACGATCGATAACATCTTGTGTTTTGAATGTTTTGTGAGTTGTTTGATTGTCTTTAGAAGTGGAAAACTCTGTATGAGAAGTGGATTGAACGTTAGTACGTTGTTTTGTTTCCTTTCCAATCTGAGTCCTTTGTATATTTTCTTTGTGTATTTCATTATCGCTTCTATTGACAGATGTTAATTCTTTACTTTGCCTTGACTGGTTTGTAATATCATTGTGTGTTATTTCTTTTTGAGAATGTGTTGGATGGCGTATTTCAGGATGTAATTCATCCCTAGGTCGATAAATAGTAGAATCGCTTGATATTGTAGGAGTTGAATCGCCATCTGTTCTTGTATATAAATTGTCTTTTGGCCTAATGGGAGTCGAACGATCAGTTGTTTCCCATTTTGGTCTAGATGGGCGATCAAAATCACCTTCTGGTTTTAAATTATCCTTAGGACGTACTTGTGCTGGAGATTCTCCAGGCTGCCATTGAGTTTTGGGTCGATCTTGAAATTCACCTTCTGGGTGAAGATTGTCTTTGGGGCGAATTTGTTCAGGTATTTCACCAGGTTGCCATTGAGTTTTAGGTCGATCATGAAATTTACCTTCTGGGTGAAGGTTGTCTTTAGGTCGAATTTGTTCAGGTATTTCAGAAGGTTGCCATTGACTTTTAGGTCGATCATGAAATTGACCTTCTGGGTGAAGGTTGTCTTTAGGGCGAATCTGTTCAGATATTTCACCAGGTTGCCATTGACTTTTGGGTCGATCATGAAATTTACCTTCTGGGTGAAGATTGTCTTTGGGGCGAATTTGTTCAGGTATTTCACCAGGTTGCAATTGAGTTTTAGGTCGATCATGAAATTTACCTTCTGGATGTAGATTGTCTTTGGGACGAATTTGTTCAGGTATTTCACCAGGTTGCCATTGACTTTTAGGTCGATCATGAAATTGACCTTCTGGGTGTAGATTGTCTTTGGGACGAATTTGTTCAGGTATTTCACCAGGTTGCCATTGAGTTTTGGGTCTATCTTCAAATTGGCCTTCTGGATGAAGATTATCTGTTGGCCGAATTTGTCTTGGTGCTTCACCAGGCTGCCACGATGTTTTAGGTCCACTTCGAAACTCCCCTTCGGGATAGAGATTGTCTTTTGGTTGTATCTGCTCTGGAACTTCGCTGGGCTGCGACTGAGTTTTTTGACGATTTTCGGGATAGAATTTATCCTTACCTGTGGATACTGTCCTCGGTATTTCTTTGGTACTAGTATCTATATCATGTGGTCTATATTGTTCAGATTGTTTTATTGGTTGATATGTGTCGCTCTCCCAAGGTTTAACAGATTCGTCGTTAGGATATTTCGGTTTATTTTTATCGTCAGAATAATAAGCAATGGCTCTTCTATCAGTTTTACTAATCTTGTGTTCATCTCGACGCACGTGATCTTCGAAAACACCTTCAATTTTAAGATTATCTTCTCTGCGTATAAGTTTCACTCTTTGCCCTTTTACAAGACGGTACGTATCTGAAGATCTTATATTTTCCATTTTACCTTCCATCTTTAAATTATCTTCATGTTTGACAAGGGCGGTTTTTTCTCCTGTGACCACTTTATAATCATTCCTTTGTTTCATGTCTATAAATTCTCCTTCAATCTTTAGGTTGTCTTCACGTCTTATGATATCGACGCGATCAATATTTTGTTTATGATGAATATCGAGATCTCTATCAATTGTTATGTTATCAATATGCTTAAAAGGCTTTCGTTTCTCTGCTGGTCGAGTTGCAACCGTTTCAGGCTTATAAAACTTTCCGTCTGGTTTTAAATTATCTTGTGGTTTTACTACAGGCGCTCTGTCACCTTTAGTAGCACGGTAATCATCACGAGTATAAAGATCAATAAATTCACCTTCAGTCTTTAAATTATCTTCGTGCTTCTGAATAACAACTTTTTCAGTTTTTTCGATACGTTTATAATCGTCCCTAGAGCGATGAACATCAATTACTCCTTCCATTTTTAAATTATCTTCATGTTTGACCACTTCTACGCGATCACCTCTTGTCACTGAATAATCTGTCCGACGAACTACTTCCATATCACCTTCTGGTTTAAGATTATCCCTTGGTTTCTTTGGAGTTTGCCTCTCAGCTGGCTTCCACTCATCATGTTTTGGTTGTTCAAATACTCCTTCTGGTTTTAAGTTATCCTGAGGTTTTGTCTGTTTAGGACGTTCAGCAGGCCGCCATTCTGGCTGTCTAGGCGTCTCAAATTCACCTTCTGGTTTCAAATTATCTTTTGGTTTTGTAGGCGTTTGCCTCTCTGCTGGACGCCATTTTTCTGGCCTTGGTTGTTCGAATTCACCTTCTGGTTTTAAATTATCTTTAGGTTTTACAGGTGTTTGTCTTTCAGCAGGACGCCATTCATCATGCTTAGGATGCTCAAATTCACCTTCAGGTTTAAGATTATCTTTAGGTTTTCTTTGAACAGGACGTTCAGCCGGTTGCCAATCCTCTTGTGTAGGTTTTTCAAAATCTCCTTCAGGTCGTAGATTATCTTGCGGCTTTCTAGGTGTCTGTCTTTCTGCTGGTCGCCATTCATCATGTTTAGGTTGTTCGAAGTCACCTTCTGGTTTCAGATTATCTTTAGGTTTGGTTTGAGTGCGGCGTTCTGCTGGTCGCCATTGGTCTTTCTCAGGAGTCGAGAATTCACCCTCGGGTCTTAAGTTATCTTGGGGCCTTTTAGGTTTTTGTCTTTCCGCTGGACGCCATTCGTCTGGCTTAGGTTGCTCGAATTCCCCTTCCGGTTTCAAATTATCTTGGGGTTTCTTTTGTATAGGGCGCTCAGCTGGCCTCCACTGGTCTTTATCGGGAGTTGTGAATTCACCTTCTGGTTTTAAGTTATCTTTTGGCTTTTTAGGTGTCTGCCTTTCTGCTGGACGCCATTCATCATGTTTAGGTTGTTCAAAATCACCTTCTGGTCTCAAATTATCTTTTGGTTTCTTCTGAATAGGACGCTCAGCTGGCCTCCATTGATCTTTTTCGGGAGTTGTAAAATCTCCTTCAGGTCTTAAGTTATCTTGCGGCTTTTTAGCTGTTTGTCTTTCCGCTGGACGCCATTCATCTTGCTTAGGTTGCTCAAATTCGCCTTCAGGTTTCAAATTATCTTGTGGTTTCTTTTGAATTGGCCGCTCAGCTGGCCTCCACTGGTCTTTTTCAGGAGTTGTGAATTCACCTTCTGGTTTTAAGTTGTCTTGTGGCTTTTTAGGTGTTTGTCTTTCTGCTGGTTGCCACTCATCGTGCTTAGGTTGTTCGAAATCACCTTCTGGTCTCAGGTTATCTTTAGGTTTCCTTTGAGTGCGGCGTTCTGCTGGTTGCCATTGTTCTTTATCAGGAGTCGTGAATTCACCTTCTGGCTTTAAGTTATCCTGTGGCTTTTTAGCTGTTTGTCTTTCCGCTGGATGCCATTCATCATGTTTAGGTTGTTCGAAATCACCTTCGGGTCTTAAGTTATCTTGAGGCTTTTTAGGTGTCTGTCTTTCTGCTGGTCGCCATTCATCATGTTTAGGTTGTTCAAAATCACCTTCTGGTTTCAGATTATCTTTAGGTTTAGTTTGAGTGCGGCGTTCTGCTGGTCGCCATTGGTCTTTCTCAGGAGTCTCGAAATCACCTTCTGGTCTTAAGTTGTCTTGCGGCTTTTTAGGTATTTGTCTTTCCGCTGGTTGCCATTCATCATGTTTAGGTTGCTCAAATTCCCCCTCTGGCCTTAGATTATCTTTTGGCTTCTTCTGAATGGGACGCTCAGCTGGCCTCCAATGTTCTTTTTCGGGAGTTGTAAAATCTCCTTCAGGTCTTAAGTTATCTTGCGGCTTTTTAGCTGTTTGTCTTTCCGCTGGACGCCATTCATCTTGCTTAGGTTGCTCAAATTCGCCTTCCGGTTTCAAATTATCTTGGGGTTTCTTTTGAGTTGGCCGCTCAGCTGGCCTCCACTGATCTTTATCAGGAGTTGTGAATTCACCTTCTGGTTTTAAGTTGTCTTGCGGCTTTTTAGGTGTCTGTCTTTCTGCTGGTCGCCATTCATCTTGCTTAGGTTGTTCGAAGTCACCTTCTGGTCTCAGATTATCTTTAGGTTTAGTTTGAGTGCGGCGTTCTGCCGGTCGCCATTGGTCTTTCTCGGGAGTGGTGAAATCACCTTCTGGTTTTAAGTTATCTTGTGGCTTTTTAAGTGTTTGTCTTTCTGCTGGATGCCATTCATCATGTTTAGGTTGTTCGAAATCGCCTTCTGGTTTTAGATTATCTTTTGGTTTCTTCTGAATAGGACGCTCAGCTGGCCTCCATTGATCTTTTTCGGGAGTTGTAAAATCTCCTTCTGGTTTTAAGTTATCCTGCGGCTTTTTAGGTGTCTGTCTTTCTGCTGGACGCCATTCATCATGCTTAGGTTGTTCGAAATCACCTTCTGGTTTTAAGTTATCTTGAGGCTTTCTAGGTATTTGTCTTTCTGCTGGACGCCATTCATCATGTTTAGGTTGTTCGAAATCACCTTCTGGTCTCAGATTATCTTTAGGTCTAGTTTGGGTGCGGCGTTCTGCTGGTTGCCATTGATCTTTCTCAGGAGTTGTGAATTCACCTTCTGGTTTTAAGTTGTCTTGCGGCTTTTTAGGTGTCTGTCTTTCTGCTGGTCGCCATTCATCTTGCTTAGGTTGTTCGATGTCACCTTCTGGTCTCAGATTATCTTTAGGTTTAGTTTGAGTGCGGCGTTCTGCTGGTCGCCATTGGTCTTTCTCAGGAGTGGTGAAATCACCTTCTGGTTTTAAGTTATCTTGTGGCTTTTTAGGTATTTGTCTTTCCGCTGGACGCCATTCATCATGTTTAGGTTGTTCGAAATCCCCTTCTGGTTTCAGATTATCTTTTGGTTTCTTCTGAATAGGACGCTCAGCTGGCCTCCATTGATCTTTTTCGGGAGTTGTAAAATCTCCTTCTGGTTTTAAGTTATCCTGCGGCTTTTTAGCTGTTTGTTTTTCCGCTGGACGCCATTCATCATGTTTGGGTTGTTCAAAATCACCTTCTGGTCTCAGATTATCTTTAGGTCTAGTTTGGTTACGGCGTTCTGCTGGTTGCCAATGATCTTTCTCAGGAGTTGTGAATTCACCTTCTGGTTTTAAGTTATCTTGTGGCTTTTTAGGTGTTTGTCTTTCCGCTGGACGCCATTCATCATGTTTAGGTTGTTCGAAATCACCTTCTGGTTTCAGATTATCTTTTGGCTTCTTCTGAATAGGACGCTCAGCTGGCCTCCAGTGTTCTTTTTCGGGAGTTGTAAAATCTCCTTCAGGTCTTAAGTTATCTTGTGGTTTTTTAGCTGTTTGCCTTTCCGCTGGACGCCATTCATCTTGCTTAGGTTGCTCAAATTCGCCTTCTGGTTTCAAATTATCTTGGGGTTTCTTTTGAGTTGGTCGCTCAGCTGGCCTCCACTGGTCTTTGTCAGGTGTCGTGAATTCACCTTCTGGTTTTAAGTTGTCTTGTGGCTTTTTAGGCGTCTGTCTTTCTGCTGGTTGCCATTCATCTTGCTTAGGTTGTTCGAAATCACCTTCTGGTCTCAGATTATCTTTAGGTTTCCTTTGAGTGCGGCGTTCTGCTGGCCTCCACTGGTCCTTTTCGGGAGTCGTGAATTCGCCTTCAGGTTTAAGGTTATCCTGTGGTTTTTTAGGTGTTTGTCTTTCCGCTGGTTGCCATTCATCGTATTTAGGTTGTTCGAATTCACCTTCTGGTTTCAGATTATCTTTTGGCTTCTTCTGAATGGGACGTTCAGCTGGCCTCCATTGTTCCTTATCAGGAGTAGTGAATTCACCTTCTGGTTTTAAGTTATCCTGTGGTTTTTTAGCTGTTTGTCTTTCTGCTGGACGCCATTCATCTATTTTTGGTTTCTCAAAGTCACCTTCAGGTCTTAAATTATCAACTGGTTTTACCTTCTTTTGTCTCACGTCAGTTGTTTCATAAGTTTTGTATTCTTCTTGCGTTGTTGTAACTGTTTGCAAATTATCTGTGGAGTAAAATTTATCAAAATCTTCTTTTGTCCATGTACGACGGCGATGTGGGCGTTCGAGTACAGTATTCTTTTCTGTATAATCATTTTGGTTTGAAGTTACAAATTCTATTTCACCTTCTCGTATTAAATTATCAGTTCTACGGGTAACCAATGTAGCTCTTTCGACTGTATCCGTGTAGTCAATAAATTCAGTCTTTGTGGTAGTATCAGTGAACATATCTCCTTCTATTTTAGTCCAAGTATTTCTTCTTACTGGTTTTTGTCTCTCAACAGGTTTTATAGTGTATTCTGTTCGCGACGTTGTAGTGTCTGTAAATATACATGGATCACATCACGATTTTTTAAAAGAGGGTACACACCTGTTTTATATATAATATAAAATAATATGGCATGTGTTGAGTGCTGTCATGATTTAGGAGGTATATCGGTCTCTTATTTATTAAATTTATATTCTCAGACGTGCTACGAGAAGTGACCGTAACATGAATAAATGTTACTTTATCTTATTGACCGTGTAGTAGCGGTATGAGAGTATCTACTGACCCATATCATCTCGTGGTTGTGGCAAGATACGACAATATGATACAAACCAGGAGATGGCAGCAGTAAAAAAACTGCCATTGCCAACTCGGCGGCAAAGCGTGGCATCTATGGTCAATATGATCATGTATCAATGTCAAAATGTTCAGCAATGGACTTTTAATACGTTGTAACAGTAACGGTAACGATATCTTAACCGACCAGAACATTATTTATGACACAATGGACTATTAGTAAAAAATTAAAGTTACAGCCTATATACGTCCCACTGCTGGGCACAAGCCTCCTCTCATTTCTGAGAAAGTTTTAGGGCAAGAAAATGTCTGCCGCGCTACCGCAATGCGTGGGCTATTAGTAAAATCCGAAATTAATATCTAATAATAAAAATATCTAACCTTATTTTGTTTTATAACTTACCCGTAAATTCTCCTTCCATGATAATATTATCTGTGTGTTTTACGATTTCCGCCTTTTCACCGGTTACTACTTTATAATCATCTATTCTTGTAGTAGTAAAATCTCCTTCTGGGCGCAAATTATCTTCCGGTTTTTTGCCTACAGACTTTTCAGCTGGTATAAATTCTATGGGCTGACGCTTGACGAAGTCTCCTTCTGGTTTAAGATTATCCTCCGGTTTCTTTGGCTTTTGCCGTTCTGCTGGCCTCCAAGGTTCTTTTTCTGGTGTAACAAATTCACCTTCCGGCTTTAGATTATCATGAGGGCGTTTTACAGTTGCTCTATCACCGGGCTGCCATTCTTCGGGTTGTCTTTTCTCAAAATCTCCTTCGGGTTTCAAATTGTCTTTTGGACGTCGAACTGGCTCTCTATCTCCTGGACGCCATTCATCCGGTTTTCGTTTTTCAAAGTCACCTTCTGGTCTTAAATTATCTTCTGGCTTTTTCGGCCTTTGCTTTTCTGCTGGCCTCCAGGGTTCTCTTTCTGGGGTAACAAATTCCCCTTCTGGTTTAAGATTATCATCTGGGCGTCGTACGGGAGCTCTGTCGCCAGGTTGCCATTCCTCAGGTTTCCGTTTTTCAAAATCACCTTCAGGTTTCAAATTATCTTTGGGACGCCTTACTGGTTCTCTTTCTCCTGGACGCCATTCTTCAGGTCTTCTTTTTTCAAAATCTCCTTCTGGTCTTAAATTGTCTTCTGGTTTTTTTGGCTTTTGCCTTTCAGCTGGTCTCCAGGGTTCTTTTTCTGGAGTCGTGAATTCACCCTCAGGCTTTAAATTATCATCCGGACGACTTACAGGTGCTCTGTCACCAGGTCGCCATTCATCTGGTTTTCGTTGTTCAAACTCACCTTCAGGATAGAGATTATCTTCAGGTCGACGAACTGGTGCGCGATCTCCAGGGCGCCATTCATCTGGATGCCTTTTTTCAAATTCACCTTCAGGGCGCAAGTTATCCACTGGCTTTCTTGGTTTTTGACGATCAGCAGGGCGCCAATGCTCTTTTTCAGGAGTCATAAATTCACCTTCAGGTTTTAGGTTATCATCTGGACGACGAATAGGAGCCCTATCTCCTGGGCGCCACTCTTCTGGTTGCCTTTTCTCGAATTCACCTTCTGGTCGCAAATTATCTTGAGGGCGACGTACAGGCGCCCTTTCACCAGGTTTCCATTCATCAGGTCTTCTTTTCTCAAAGTCACCTTCTGGTTTTAAGTTATCCTCCGGACGTTTTACAGGCACCCTGTCACCCGGTCGCCATTCTTCGGGGCGCCTTTTCTCAAATTCTCCTTCAGGTCTTAGGTTATCTTCAGGCTTAGTAGGTTTTTGCCGCTCAGCAGGTTGCCAGTGATGACGTTCAGGTTCTTGAAAATCTCCTTCAAGCCGAAGATGGTCTTCGTGATGAACAGCGGTTGTACGGCTTACTTGTTTTTCGTCGTAATCTTGTTTGTATGCGGAAACCACGCTCGTCGTGTGCTCCACATCGAACAATGGCTCCGGGACATCGTTGTGTGGGCAACGGTGACGCCTATGAACAAAGTTGTAAAATTAAATAATTTCATTTATTAATAGAATCAGGCGTTATATTGCGGAAATCCACTATAGCAAAGATATTAAAATTTTGCGTCTTTCCTAGTTTGAAGAGCACCTCCCGCCCTTGCGGGTAAAATTCCGTCGTTAAAATCGAGGTATGTGAGGTATTCTTTAAACTAGTTAAGACGCATCATTTTTTATGTTTTTAACGTGGCTCTTAGCTAGTTAATTTTTTCAATAACAACCTCACCCGCATGAGGTGCATTCTCATAATTAAAGAACTAGGTTCTATAAAAAGTGAACCCAAATAACACAGATCAATGAGCAATAACGATTATTCATCATCAGGTGATCCTTATGCTCATTTGCCTACCCTTCGTATGTCCAGGCTTTCTAATGGTAACGAAGTAGTAGGAACGCATATGTATTTAAAATTCAACCTTTAACAAGGTTAGGTCTTGTTTTTATATCAATAATTACCCCATTTTGTTTGTTGAATTATCCAGAGTATAGTCACTTTTGTAACTGATTATTAAATATGTTTTTTGTAGAATATTGATGGCCAACGCTTTTGGTGGCCTTAAAAGAGATCTTTCGTAGCTTTTTTGATGAATTTTCTATAGTTTTCAGTATATGTGTGAGGTGCCCTAAAATGTACGATGGAATAATAGATAGAACCTTTTAATGTAACTTTTCAGGTGACGTTCTAGACCTTGAGTTTGTGCCTAATATTGCTTAAGTCGACGCAAAAGGGTAAAGTAACAAAGAACTTAAAAAAAATGTAAAAACCGACTTCAAGAAATTAAAAAGAATAAAATTACTTTTACATAGCTTGTGAAGACGGTATTACTAGCTTAAGACATATATTAAACAACAATTAAAGACACGACTCTTTAAACGGTGATAAAATTATTTCAATCTTTGTAATTGTTCAAGTTCGTCTTATTTTTTTTAAAGTTTGCCGCCTTAGATATTAATTCGATTTAAGGTGATCAAGGGCTACCTTAAATCGAACAATAGCTTTATGCGAAAAGGTGGAAAGTTAGCTCATTTATCATTCAAAAATTAAAAACAATGCTTCTCCAATAAAGTAGGTAATCGATGTTACTTTTTATAACAATAATCACACCTTTTTATATGATAAGGATGAAGAAAAATTGAAAATCGTCGCGGAGGTGGCAAAGGTGGCAGCGTTAACGATTCGGCCATCACCCATCGCGCTCACTTCACTTTTACGTTTTATTCACAAATCACACTGAAACAAATGTTCATAGAGGAAAAATCCAGTATCTACGTCCAGGGTATTATTCTTTCTACGACACATTTAATTATACACAAAAACTGAAGCGCAAAACTATTGATTTCAGAAAAAAACAATTGTAGTAAATAATGGTATAGTATCAATATTATCAGTTATGTACTTTTTGTATTAATATGTACTATTTCTTTTTTAATTTAAAACCTATATTTTACGTTGAAATCGGTAAAATATATCTAATATATAATACATTCTTATTCCATTTATGGCACGGCATTTAGCATTACATATTATAATCACATAATACACAGTACTTTTTATAATCTTTAGCGCTTAATTCGCCTGTGTCGACCGCAACCAAGCGCTCTGTACTGCCGTAACTTACAAGGATGTTATGTTATCATTCTACGTTCTTGTTCTATAATGGGTATCTCTATATTTACGCGTTACTTTAACAGCGCTTATTTAAAAAAAACACCCAAAAGATTGTATATTAATCTTTAATGTCTTTTCTAAAAAATACCCAGTAAGACACGTGTATAAAATTAATTCAAGCTTAACCGCTTGAATAAATTTGAGTATAAGTTCAATTATAGTATAACATGAAGGTTTTAATTAAATTACTTACTATTTTTTTACAGTTTTTAATATTTTTATTACAGATATTATGTTCCTGAAAGAAAAGTGCTGTAAACCTGTAAAATATTGGTATTTCTAGTCACAACGGCTTTCGTCAGGTGTTACAGTCAGGTTTCTTGTTCACAGTTCACAGTAAGTAAAAATATTGATCGTCGCATGTTAGTGTTTAAAAATAGGCAGCGGCATGCCCATGAGAGTCATGAAACGAAGTTATTTATTCTGTCGCTTAAAAACATTCACTCACAAATCACAAAGTGAAAATCTTTTTAACTGAACATTATACAGATACTCATCATGCGAGCTTGTAAAAATATGTAACTAATACTTACCTATATTTGTTCAATTAAAACTTATATGGGACAATAAAGGTCTTAACGTACCCTACTTACACGTAAAACGAAAGCTAAATTTACTCCAATCCGAACACAAAGACAGAAAAGAGAAAATAAATAAGAAAATGACTAGAACATACACGTACTTAAGCTTAAATGGGCTATGATAATTTACAGAATCATTTCAGATTTAGTAATGAGACAATAATGTAGCCGTAAATCTATTATTAAGTATAGCTCTGAACTATTATAAACTGTAACAAAAATGTTAAATGTGTTTTCCTTGCCGTAGGAATCTCGCTCGTAAAACATCACAGTCATAAGTGTATTCGCTATCACTATCTCAAAATCAATATGGTAATGATCGATACTTTTGCAGCGCTTGTTTCGATTGAAGATTAAAAATAAAGAAAGCTCAGTATTGGTTGGAGTGGATTTTAACTTCAGGAATGTTTGAACCTCGCTTTTATGGGATTGCCGACAGCGGAATAGCTCAATGGCGGAAAACCACTATCGTGTTTAAGGCTCCGACAATAAGCAACCGGATCTCCCTGGTCCGATAAAAAACCAAGTTTATCGAATTCAGTATGTTACAGACTCGCTTGAATCCGGTGTGAAACTTATCCAGTCGGCCACTAGCGAGCTTGGGTTGGTTAGACGTCGCGTTACTTTTTTAAATGGAAACGTTGAGTAGAGGTTTTGATTTTAGATGTTACCACTTTACATACATCGTCCCACGATAAATATTTTAATGTTTAATTGCGTTGGGCGTGGTAGCTCAGATAGTTAACGCTCGCTATAAATTACATAGTACGCGAGCGAACCGGGTTTGATCCCCGCCAGCACCAATGAAATTGTTGATTGCAATTTTAAGTGCTGATTTACCACGTAGTCGGCGGTAAAGGAAATGAGGAAACCTGCATGTCTGAAAAATAAGAAAAAAAATTTCGAAGACATGTGAAGTTCCCCAACACGCATTGGGGCAGCGCGGCGGACACTTCCTTGCACTAATACCCTCTCAGAAATGAAAGCAGGCCTGTGCCCAGCAGTGGGACGTATATAGGCTCTAACTTTACCTATGTACCTATTTTAAATCAGTTATTCATTGTTAGTTATTTATCTTAGTTATTCATTGCAAATCCCTTGCTTCTAAAAAAAATTTATATTATTGTCCAAAAAATCAACTAAAGTATATTATATGTAATGTCTGTTATATAGTAGTAATATTTGTTATAGATAACAGTTCGATAATTTATGTTTCGATATGAGATAACTTATATAAAGCCGTCGCCTAGCAATAAGAAACAAACACGTCGTTTGTTCGACCTTTTTCAGTGTATAATAAAGATGGAAGACTTTCCTCAAAACATTAACACTGAACAGAAGGTAAAAACTTTTTATACGTGGTAGAGCCACGCTGCAGTTATACTCGTAGTATAGTTGTAGCACGAATGGGTCGGCTGGACCGGGGAAGGACCACGCTCACACAGAATACCAGCGTAAAATCCTATACCTTTAAACGAGCAATACTTGATATATATATATATATATATATATATATATATATATAATCGGAATCTTGGAAACGGCTCCAACGATTTTCATAAAATTTAGTGTCCAGGGAGTTTCGGGCTAGGATTTATTTTTAGAAAATGGCATTTTGTCCATGTTTTCAAACTGCTACAATATAAGAAGTTAAATTTTGATACTGTCTTAATGATCGTAATAGCTCAAGTGGATATCGAGCGGTCGCGAAATCGTAATGCTTTGGTTCGTGTTCTGTCTTCGGTCCGACTTTTTTCCTATTTTTTTAAAGTTCCTTCTTTTGTGAGAAAATCTACTATTTCGAGCGTTTTTTTTTTAGTATTTTTTAAAAATATCAAAATTTTAATTAAACTAATTGCACTCATGATTATTTATTCAAATAACCAGTTCAGTTTTTTCAATTATGTCAATAAGATCAACAAATATTATTCATATTTCATCAGTATGTAATTTGTATCTAAATGTAATTTCAAAAAAAAACGAACAAAGCTCGGTCGGCCGGGTACTAGTAGCTTAATGCTGCTGTGTTTCGTATGGAGAGTGTAGAGAACCGGAGACCCTTTTTACTGAAAACGAGGCATTCCATCTTAGTCCTCGCGGGTGACAACACATTCTGCATTTTGATTTGTAATCGAGGATAGATGTAGATGTCTATGGGCCACAGCAACCACTTACCATCAGGTGGACTGTGTGCTAGCTTGTCACCCTATCCTATTAAAAAAAACATAGACTTAGACCTCTCCTGTTCCTCAACGCTAGTCGGTGAGTGTTTTATATCTGACATTTGTATGATTTATGGAGTGTTTATATCGTCATCTACACAGCGAAGCTGTCTGATCTTTCATATTGTCTGTAAGTGTTTTATCCTTTGCTCAAGGTTTTATCCATTCTCTGTCTGTATGAAAATTATTGTCCGACGACGCAACAAGACTTTAGATGTTGGTATCATTATTAAGATATTTTTAAGTTCTATTATAGTCTCACTATTGATAAATGGTATTGCGTTATTTTATTTATTCATGGTGACTTAAACAGTTTAAAAACTAAATTAACATTTATTCAATATTGCAAACATGCCATCTTTAATTTTAAATGTGTTTTAAAAGGAGCAAGTAATACGTTAACATCGTGACTAAAATCGGTTTTAAAATTGCTATCAGTAGTTTACACATTACAACGGCGCCAGACTTAGTAATTGCTTTAAATACGCAAATAGCTCCA